CCGTGATCCCTGGAGCAGAGATTCTTCCCGCCTATGCGCCTCTCGCTTCGCACAGCGAACTAATTTTCTTCCCGGTGGAAACTCGCCTGTAATGCGCTCCTATTGTATCGTATTGTATCGCGTTGTTATTTCCCTTTTGTAGAATACTAATGTCCTCTTTAGTTTGTATTGTGATTTATTATATTGTGTATTGTAATTTATCATATTGTGTTGTTACTATTTTGTAGTGTATTGTGTCTATTTAGTATTATATTTTAACCTGTTGCATTGTGTTGTTACTGTTTTGTGTTGCATTGTTATCTATTTTATTGTGTTGTTTCTAATTTGTATTGTATTTTAATCTATTGCATTGTGTTGCTTCTGTTTTGTAGTACATTTTAATCTATTTTATTGCGTTGTTTCTGTTTTGTGTTGCATTTTAATCTATTTTATTGCGTTGTTTCTGTTTTCTATTGCATTTTAATCTATTTTATTTTGTTGTTTCTATTTTTTAGTGTACTGTGTCGTTTCTATTAAGTATCGTGTTTTAATCTATTGCATTGTATTGCTTCTGTTTTGTATTACATTTTAATCTATTTTATTGCGTTGTTTTTGTTTTGTATTACATTTTAATCTATTTTATTGCATTGTTTCTGTTTTTTATTGCATTTTAATCTATTTTATTTTGTTATTTCTATTTTGCCGTAAATTGTGTTGTTTCCGTTTTCTATTGTATTATAATCTATCGTACGATGTTCTTATCATTTTGTATTGTACACCGGTATAACATGTTTTCGTAATTTTCTAGTCAATCGTTATCTATTCTTCTAGTGAGCTTTTTTAGCCCGTAGAAAGTGAATAAACACAAAATGTATTTCATTCCTTTCTAATCGTGTACGGTCCGTGATTGTTCTGTGTCAAAAAATAGGGTTATGTTGCGTTTTATAATCCGTTATTATCTGTCGTTTGCGATTTATGAGCACTTACGTGGAAGAATTAGCTCTCGGACAAAAGGATCGGCTTCTTAAATGAGAAAACGGGCACGGCTGAATTCTTAGATAGGTCCGATCAAAGCTCGTGCAAAGTTTCATAAATATATACAATATCGGTGTGTATCGGTCGTCGGGGTTCCCTAGCGAGAACGAGCAGAATCACGGACCATCATCTCCAGTGTCTGCTAGTTTGCGTAACGCGAACATTCGCCGGGGTATCGGTTGCCCGGCGGTAATCGATCCCGTAATTACTATTGAGAGCCGGTCGTAACGAGGAAGGCGTTAAACGAGACCCAGAACGATATCTAGGAAGTAGAACAATGAGATTGAAACGACAGCGGAAAATTTGTTCCATTGCGGTTTGCCGTTCACCGCTGAACGGCGCGGCGTGGCGCGGGGCGGGGCGGTGGTGAAGCGCGAACCTCCCCCTCCTCCTCCACCGGCAAGCCAGAGGTGTAACCGACGAACGAAAGCGTGACAATATGCAGAGGGAAGCCAGGGAAGGACAACGGTGCATTTCCAATCGATTCCCACAATGGCAAACGACGTGTAACGCGTTAATGGGAACACCGCTGTTTCGAGCGAGTCCCATTTTTCCTGGTCACGTCGCGAATGGTAAAAAAAAATGAACGTGTTCCGCTCGCCACGTAACCGCGCGAATAATCGTGCTGGTCTTTTCGCGCTTGACGGACTCGTTCCAGTTTGAATTCCATCGAATGGCGCGTACGCGCGTTAAGCTTTTCAGCTTTTTGTCAATATCGGTCTTGCTCAACGGCGAAGGAGGAAAACGAATTTGCCGGCGTGCGGTGGTCTCCGTGATTGCTCAATTTCCGAGGCGACCGTGCCGAAAAGCCGGAAGCTCGTTTCCAAAAATTCTAGTCCACAGAAGTCCGCGTTCGATGTTCGTAAAAAATGCTTTGAATCGAGTTTCATCCATATGCTAGATTAATGCATACATTAATGTGCTCATATTGGTCTTTAGCAGCACTGTCAGGTATTGTCTTATACAAAAATTATAAAATTATTATATATATATATATATATATAATAATTTTATAATTTTTGTATAAGACAATACCTGACCTGTCTCTTATACACATCTAGATGTGTATAAGAGACAGGTCAGGTATTGTCTTATACAAAAATTATAAAATTATTATATATATATATATATATATAATAATTTTATAATTTTTGTATAAGACAATACCTGACCTGTCTCTTATACACATCTAGATGTGTATAAGAGACAGGTCAGGTATTGTCTTATACAAAAATTATAAAATTATTATATATATATATATATATATAATAATTTTATAATTTTTGTATAAGACAATACCTGACCTGTCTCTTATACACATCTAGATGTGTATAAGAGACAGGTCAGGTATTGTCTTATACAAAAATTATAAAATTATTATATATATATATATATATATAATAATTTTATAATTTTTGTATAAGACAATACCTGACCTGTCTCTTATACACATCTAGATGTGTATAAGAGACAGGTCAGGTATTGTCTTATACAAAAATTATAAAATTATTATATATATATATATATATATAATAATTTTATAATTTTTGTATAAGACAATACCTGACCTGTCTCTTATACACATCTAGATGTGTATAAGAGACAGGTCAGGTATTGTCTTATACAAAAATTATAAAATTATTATATATATATATATATATATAATAATTTTATAATTTTTGTATAAGACAATACCTGACCTGTCTCTTATACACATCTAGATGTGTATAAGAGACAGGTCAGGTATTGTCTTATACAAAAATTATAAAATTATTATATATATATATATATATATAATAATTTTATAATTTTTGTATAAGACAATACCTGACCTGTCTCTTATACACATCTAGATGTGTATAAGAGACAGGTCAGGTATTGTCTTATACAAAAATTATAAAATTATTATATATATATATATATATATAATAATTTTATAATTTTTGTATAAGACAATACCTGACCTGTCTCTTATACACATCTAGATGTGTATAAGAGACAGGTCAGGTATTGTCTTATACAAAAATTATAAAATTATTATATATATATATATATATATAATAATTTTATAATTTTTGTATAAGACAATACCTGACCTGTCTCTTATACACATCTAGATGTGTATAAGAGACAGGTCAGGTATTGTCTTATACAAAAATTATAAAATTATTATATATATATATATATATATAATAATTTTATAATTTTTGTATAAGACAATACCTGACCTGTCTCTTATACACATCTAGATGTGTATAAGAGACAGGTCAGGTATTGTCTTATACAAAAATTATAAAATTATTATATATATATATATATATATAATAATTTTATAATTTTATATCAATTTGATACGAAGATCCTATTCTGAACCTGATGCTGACATCTCTGATGAATACGAGACTTTTCGAGTTCGTTTGAATTTTAGCCAATCAACGCTAGATGGCGCCGTAATTGATTTCTGTATCGCCTGTTCCACATAATTTCGATTGCCTGCATCAATCCGATGTTACAGTAGATTCGGATTTGAACAGTTGCAAACAATTCGCCTTATAATAAGCGATACTAACTGTTTATTATTCGAAGGGAAATGTTAAAATTATTTTCAGGGAGAAGTTTCGTTAAAATAAGGAACGAATTTGCTCTATTGTAATAATACAAAATTGTTGTTAGGATAATTTCAGAATGTCTATGGTAAGAAGCAATTTTATGAAATATATCGGCGCGAAAGAATGTGAAATACTGAATCAGGACCAAGAGAAATGAAGCCAAGTTTGAAACTCACCAATTTCTGTAGAAAATACCGGACGGATTTTGTAGATAAAAGTTATAAATATTTATTTATATGTATATATTATATTTATTATATTATAGACCTAAAATATGCTGTCTAATTGCGTAGGGTTTGAGACAAAAGCCGGAAGGGATCTTCAACCTTCAGCCATATTGGTAGACAAAATAAGCAGCGTGCTCTAGCGGTGACTTTAGTTATTATGATCTAAGGTAATGTCCCGATAATAACATCAATGTTTGTAAAGGACGTAATCTCAACACAGACGAGGCATAGACGTAAATCTATAGCATCCATAGTAAATTTTTGTCACTCAAAAATGTGGGTTCAGAAGCACAATTACCATTTACGGTATCGCGGTCATCGTTAGAAATGTTTCAAAAATTTAAACATGTTAGTAGCAATCGAGTATTCCGTATACCTCATTTGTATTACGATACGTTGTATGATTTGTGTGCGCGCGAAGAAGATAAAATTCGAAGCCTTCAAATACAGATAAAAAATGAATAAATATAAATATAAAGGCTCGAAATAAATTCTCATCAAATACAATTATTTATTCAACGCTGGTCGAATAATGATACTTTTCTTTTATTCAAAACATTGAATAACAAATAACCGATAAATTATCTTCCACTCGAATCGTGATTTATAAATCACTTTTTATCTAAATAATATCCAACTCGACTGTGGAATAGGAAAGTGGAAGGCATATCCTGCAGACGACACGCGCTATAGTACGCCATCTTGGATGCGCAGGTACATGCAGGATAAGTATGATACAATGTATAGTAGCAAAAGTTTCTCGCGAATATCTCTTACGGTGCAAAAAGTTATTTAAAATTGTAACGAAATTTTTTCTGTCCCGATCGTTGTAAGGCATTTTTCATGCTAAAATGCTATTAATTAAGTTAGAAAATTTGGAAAAATCGTTCGAGATATATTTATACTCTAAAAACTATAGCATATTCAGTACTCCAAAAAATGTCCGATTTCTAAGAATGTACAGCGAAGTTCGGGGCCTTTGAAAATATAACCTAATATTTCAAAAAATTACCTTTCAAGAAAGTAAATGACGGCCATTTTTGTCTAGTATGTTTTGGTTGTCGAAAACAATTTATGCTAGAGACCAACTATCGATAGGACATTCGATAGTCGGTTACCGTCGATAGTATCCCCACTCTTTCGATTTTCGTACAATAGATTCACTATCGTGAAGTCGCAGTTGTTGGCGACGCCGCGTTGTCTTCGACGAAGGATTCGTACGCTTCAAGCTTCAAGAGACTTTGGGACATTCTAAATCCTAATATTTAACCGAAATTCGTTTAACCATAAATGAAGAACGCACATTGTGTACATACAACTGCACATCGTTTTCCGTTTGTTTGGTTATATAACGGTGCAAGACAATTCGAAAATGATATCCAGACCGCTTAACATTTGTAAATATTTATGACAACTGCCGAATACTTCAAAAAGTTCGAAGAGGATGAGAATTTGCACTGGTACGGAATGATTCATGAGAAAACACGCGTGAAAATGGCGATTCGCGTCTCGAAGAAATATCGCGTCGAATGATTCGAAAATCGAAGTGATCCAGTGTTTTATATGATTCGAATGAAAATGAGGTACTGACGAGAAAGAAATGTGATTAAGAGTGATCCGACAGATATACGCGCGCAAAGTGTCCAAGTTTATTACGTTTATATTTTTACTGCGGCAAAGTTTGTCATACATAAACCCTTCCGGTACTATCTAAGCAAGCGTTGACATTGCAGATACAATGGAATCTGAAAGCGCTGTTGTGCTAGAATCATGCGAAGAAGATTCGATTTTAATGCAAACTGTAAAGAATATGGTAACGGAAGATGTACATACTGGGATAGATAGCAAGGAGGAGGGATTTTTTATTGTCACAGATGTGACGGAAGGCGAACAGCAGAACGTGATAGAAGTCTGCAACGAAGAAACAACTATTACCGATAACGGAGAACACATTTCATTGTCTAATTTGTGCAGAGTATGCGCCAATGCTAACGATCATTTGATTCCAATATTTGATGGAGAAGGTTTGGAGCACGACCTGTGCAGTAAAATACATAAATATTTACCTATACATGTATGTGCTTTGATCATTTTGTAATTAGTTCAGTTTTTGTCTAAACTATGATATGAAACTTTATTCTAAATTCATCGATGCTTTGTTATAGATATCCGATACGGATGAGCTTCCATTGCAATTGTGTTATCATTGCGCTGCTACCTTGTTAGCATGGCACGAACTCTTGGAAGGATGTTTAACAGCGGAGAGAAGGTTGTTGACGATGCAGGAATCTCTACAAGTGAAACAGGTATACGCGTGGAAGCAAATCCCATTGCCTACTTGAAAAGTTTACAATGGAAATTATTCGTTTACTGAAAATTCCTGATCGTTTTTCAGAGCTCGGAAGGTCTGGAAGTATCGATAGACACGACTACGTCTAACATAACAGAATCTCTGGTAGGTGTAGGTGTAACAGCTCGATATTATTTCGTGTGATATCGATTAAAACTATTGATCACCCTGATAGTGTTAATAATTTTTGCTTGTAGCATCAAGAGCAGGAAACCATAAAGGATGAAGATTGTGGGGAAGTGGCTGATAATGATATGAACAGGTAATAACTCTCATTATTTAATGAAAACACAGAAAACCGATAATACATTGGAGCAAATAAAATACGCACAACCGAACGTGCAGAAAATGTGCCTCAAACCGATAGACGTACAAATGTTTCCGCGGCTAATAGTACACAATAGAAGCAAGCTTTCGAGAGCCATACACTCTCAAAGCAAATCGTTAGACGTTGATTGTCCATATTCGACGTATGGATGATTATACCTGTTCGAAATACGGAACAAGACAGAGAAAAAAAATAAAAACGGAACTCTGTATGGTGGGTTGAAAAACGAGAACAAAATCTTCTGCATTGTTGTCACGCCACAGCTGCAAAGTCTGGAGTCAAGTTCTGACTGTTTTGCAGGTCCAGTAGTATGCGGACACCATTTAAGGTGTTCTTAGACATGCAGAATGTATTTCGGAAGCCAAACAGAATAAAGTACCAGCTGCGAGAAAGAAAGCCTGTAGACAGCAGCGGGGATGGCCATTCGGTGTGGATCAGCGTCGTAAACTCGTCGCTCGATCAGTCTGTTATCACTGAGCAACTGCAAAATAATGATATCGACGTGAAGGAGGAAGTATCCCGGCTGTACGGTGACTCGAACAGCTTAGAGAAAGTGAAATTAGAGGACGAGAGCAGGTTGGCCGCTCAGAATGAGAGAAACGCCCAGAGAAGGACGAGAGGAAAATGCAGGATATGTCCTGCCGATGTTCGACACACTGGAGAACCGTGCGAGCACGCGAAACAGAAAAGTATCGTCGAGGTTCAGGAGTCATATCAATGCGACGAGTGCAGCAAATGCTTCAAACTGAAGGACTCGTATCTGAGACACATGAGAATCCACAGGGACGAGAGGCCGTTCACTTGTCAGATCTGCGGAAAGCAATTCCGTGACTCGGGCGGTCTGTCCAGACACTTGAAAGACGTGCACGAGAAGCTGAAAAATTTCACCTGCGACATCTGCGGGAAATCGTTCGCGTCGAAGGCCACCAGAGAGGATCACCGCAGAACGCACACCGGGGAGAGGCCCTACATATGTGACTCGTGCGGCAAGAGCTTCAAGTCGAAAGCCTCCCTGTACATTCACAGTAAACTGCATACAAACGAGTTCCCGCATCCGTGTTCCTATTGCAACAAAAAGTTCCGCAGGAGGCAGGAGATGCTGGCCCACGTGACCACTCATACCGGCGAGAAGAATTACGGTTGCGACATCTGTTCGAAACGGTTCCGGGTGAAATCGGAACTCGTCAGGCACAAGCTGATCCACTCCGAAAATAAGCCGTTCGTTTGTGTGAAATGCGGCCTCGCTTTCCGACAAAAACGATATCTGAACAATCACGTTAAAAGCAGACACGTCGAGACACTGCGAGCATGCTAAACAAACAAAAAAATGAGCCTTAAAATGTTCTACACAGATATAGACCCGACCGCATATATCGTGTCGAGCGACATCCAATTTATCAAATCTGGTAAATTTATTATTTTTCCAGGTGTGCTCTACCTCGGAAGAAATCCCTCGTGGCATACTGCTCGTGGCATATGACAGCGACGCGCTCGAATAATATAATACAGACCACTAACAAATATACAGCTCCCCAGCGACCGAATAAAACGGTCGCTGGTCGTCCGACGAGAAGAACTAGCAAAGAGGAGAACACAGATTCGTCCAGCAATTTCAACGGTTCAGACGTACCCGACGCGACGACCGCGCTTCTCTCCAAAGACAGAAACAACGGTCCGCACACTTGCGCGGCGTGTCAGCGAAGCTTCAAAAGGGAATGCCACTTGGCGCGACACGCGATCAAATGTACGAACAGCGTCGACAAAGACCATGACGAAAGCATGTCGAAGGACTCCGACGAGAACGAGGCCGGGATCGACGACGAGAGAGACAAGTGGAAATTATACAAAAAGTGCAAGAGAAAGCGGCACGAGACGCACCCGTGCATGTATTGCGATTACGTCTCCAAGAAGAAGAAGCTGCTCGAGGTGCACCTGATCGAGTCGCATTCAGAGTTCATCGGCAAGAAAGACCGTAAGCTAAGATGCGTCGACAAAGAGCTGGTGACCCGGGCGAAGATGGAGGTCGACGGGAAAGTGTATTATCATTGCGACGAGTGCGGGAAGAACCTGTACTCGCCGTACACGTTCTTCTGGCACGTGCGCATACACACCGGCGAACGGTCGTACACGTGCCATTTGTGCGGCAAACAGTTCAGGGTGAACCAAGGCCTGGCCAGGCACCTGAAGGACACCCACGCGGGCATAAAGAACTTCCCCTGCGACATCTGCGGCCGGATGTTCACCACGAAACGCAACGCGGAGGACCACAGGCGTATACACACCGGCGAACGGCCGTACGTCTGCAACGTGTGCGGCAAATCGTTCAAACAGAAGGCCTCCCTGTTCGTGCACAATCGAACGCACACGGACGTGTTCCCCTTCAAATGCCACTATTGCGATCAGAGCTTCCGCACGAGACCGCCGCTCGTGGTGCACATAACGAAACACACCGGCGAGAAGCCGCACGCGTGCGACATTTGCGGGCGCCGTTTTCGCATCAAGTACGAGCTGAAGCGGCACCGACTGATACACTTCGACGAGAAACCGTGGCAGTGCTCCGAGTGCGACCTATCCTTCCGACAGAAACGCTATTTAGTTAACCATAAGAAGATCAATCACGGCGCGAGCTGATTCGCACAGCGACCGCCGGGCAGAGTTGGGCAACACTTTGCTACAATTAACAATCATAAAGCAATTCGATCGTCGGTCGCCGCGATTAGATTGCATTTAACGATTAAAAAAATGTTAATCTAACTGATCGAGCTTTGAAGTAGACGTTCGATCCACGATTGGACGATCGTCCAGTCTGAACGCGCATACTCTTCTATTGTAATATATTTGTTAAATTGTAAGCACCAATGGAGCACATTAGCGGACGCTAATGCCCAACTCTGCTGTCAAGTAGTAACGGGGACAACTCTATTTTCAGGTGTAGAAACCGGCCGGTCGAGTTGCGACCGCGAGTGGTTTCGAACACCGTTCCGGAGATCAGTGTACCGACGGTCGATAACGATAGAGCTGTCCGCAATGGTGAAACCCGTGAACGGAAACAGAATAATCCATCGAGTCGGAAAAGACGAACGGTCGAGGAACGGGAGGAGTTGGCACGCTCGAGAATTACGAGAGACGACGGGGTCACGTGTTACCGGTGTAACGATTGCGGGAAAACGCTATCCACGGCGTACAACTTGCTCGCCCATCGGAACACCCACACCGGGATAAAACCGTACGCGTGTCAGGCCTGCGGGAAACGCTTCCCCTCGGCGTCCGGTTTGAACAGGCACTCGCGAGACGTTCACGCGGCGATCAAACGATTCGCCTGCGACATATGCGGCCGTTGCCTAGCGTCGCGGGTCTCTCGGGACGAGCATAGACGCACCCATACCGGGGAGAGGCCGCACGTCTGCGAGACCTGCGGGAAATCGTTTAAGCAAAAGGCATCTCTGCACGTTCACCGACTGTTCCATTCGAAACTGCGCCGTTACCGATGCTCTGCGTGCGACCGTTGCTTTCCGAGAAAGCAAGAGTTAGATAAGCATGTACACGGCCACGTCGGCCAGAGGCCGTACGCCTGCGAGGTCTGCGGCGAACGGTTCCTAAGCAAGGGCTGCGTCAGTCGGCATAAACGTGTCCATGAGGGCCGCGGGAAACCGTACGTTTGTCCCGTGTGCGACGCGAGATTCGGCCAGGAGCGTTACTTGAAGAGCCACGCGAGGAACTACCACCACAGGCCCACGGTTTCGCTGGAATGATGTCGGACTATGTTTCTGTTTTTGCAGGTGGAAGAACCAACCGGAAGACGTTACACGGTTACCGACCATGAAAACAGATAGCACGAACGCCGAGGAGATCGAATACGTCCAGTGCACCCAGTGCAACGTCGTCTTCGCGAGCATGAAGTACTTTGTAGAGCATATGAACGCCGAGCATCAGACCGAGATGCATTACTGTCAGTTCTGCGAGCTGATGTATCACGGCCGCGAGAAAGACTTCGACGAGCACATGCTGATGCACGGCGGCAACGAGGACGGGCTGTTGGACCCAACGTTGGACCATTCGAAGAATGAGCCGCGCCATCTGGAACCTATGGTCGCCGAGGAGTCGGTGTGCTTCACCTGCAACCTGTGCGAGAGGACCTTCACGAAGAAGTCCGATCTGAAGAAGCACATTAATTGGCATTCCGATGCGAACCGGATCCAGCACCCCGACGAGACCGAGCTGGTAAACAGCGCCAAGCAGATAATCAACGACCGTATGTCCTATAAATGTAACACGTGCGGCAAGGTGATATTCACGAAGCGAGGCTTCCTGCGCCATATCCGCGTGCATTCCGACAAACGACCCTGCAAGTGCGACCAGTGCGGCAAGTCGTACCGCATCGAGCAAGACCTGGCCAGGCACGTCAGGGACGTTCACGAGGGCCTGAAGAAGTACGCGTGCGACATCTGCGGACGCGCGTTCGCCAACAAAGGGGCGAAGGACGATCATCGGCGTATTCACACCGGCGAACGGCCGTACGCCTGCGAGCACTGTCCCAAAATGTTCCGGACCCTGAACTCCATCTACATTCACAATCGCGTGCACACCGATTACAAGCCTCACAAGTGTTCCTACTGCGGCAAGTATTTCCGGAGCAAACAGAGGCTGACTCACCACGAGACCACGCACACCGGCATCAAAGCGTTCGCCTGCGAGATCTGCGGCAAAACGTTCTCCGTGAAAGGGGAGGTCGTGCGACACCGCGCGATACACAACGAGGAGAAACCGTTCGACTGCAAATGCGGCATGAAATTCGGGCAGAAACGATACCTAAGGAACCATATAAAACTGCACCACAAAGAGGCGTCCTCCTGGCTGCTGGAGGAACTCTTGGGAAGCAACTGAAACGTTGCGTTAAAAGAGAGACTTGCTCTCTGTATATCGTAAACGGAGATTTCCTTTTTTCCTCGTAACGCTGGAAGTTCCGGACTACTCATTCATCTCTGTCAACATGAAGGAAAGTGGATTTTTTTTTCTAGTAAATCCAGAAAATTGATGAAAATATTACATAGATTTTTCGGATTCACCGGCGACAGTCTTGAACATCATGTAATATGAAACAACGTCGTGTACAGTAAGATGCGTGCATTCTATTTGTTATGCAATTTTTGTATAATAAACATTGGTCAGAATTATAGATGGAGAAACAATGTGATTGTTGCGTTGCTTCGTACAACTTCAACCTTGTACTACCTAAAAAAAATGTGATATTTATTCCAAATTCTCGGTAACATTATTGTACTTTAAACAATAGGATCGTTCACAGATAGAAATAATAAATTTTTATTGAGTCAATAATTTTACATAAAATACTAGATCCTATTAGTACTAAAACAATAAATACTACCTCTACCGTGGAAATCGTATTTGTATACGATATATAAAACTAATACAAGATAGTGAATTTACTCGGTAACTAACATGCGTACTTTATCTTAACTGCTAGATTTTTACATAACAACCAGTATGTAATACCATCACGATACCCTACAGGTTTATATTTTTTATGCTCTTCTTAAGTAATTTAGTTTCTCATACAGCGCAGTACCGATACTTTAAGCCTCTGGGTCAGTATCTATTAAATTTATTATATTATTATTTTATTTTAAAATAATTCCTTTTCGATAATGTCATACGTATACTGCAGATTTTTATCCAAAACAAGAATTGTCTACATCAATCGGAGGAAATAGAAATTAACCAACGAGTTCATTCTTTGTTTACTTGTTTTAATAGATTAAAAATAATAAAAATTCTTTTAATCTTTTTACTATTTGCAATTGCATTTATTCAATTTTGTCATACATACATGAAGTCTACAGTGTTTAGTCGTGTGATTTAATTATCCCTTCAGCAAAATGGATTTTTGAACTTGTTCTTCTTACTAATATGTAAGTTACTTAAGTCAGCACTACTCAATAAACTCTCAAAATCTATCAGAGACATTCGTCTCAGATTTCTAATCAGTTCCACATCACTGGGATATTTTTTCAATGGGTTACGTTCCTGAAAAGAAATAGTAATGTTAATAGGACTCGTTACTTTATTATACTATCGACTAAGAAGAAATAATGCTTACGAAACAAGTTGTCTGATTCCGTTTGAATAGATTTTCTTTCTTGAGAGAAGTCAGTCTTGTGCGTTCAGCTAATCTGAAATCTCTTCTTTGCGATCTAGTACCTCCTGATTTGCAACGTATTATATCTTTATTTTCAGTATTCTTCCAAGGCTCGTATGTTTGTACGTCTTCCTAAATATTAAACCAAAATTTACATATTTGATGCAATTGAATATTAACTATCCACAAACCTCCTCCCAATCTTTCATTATGGGCACAGTTAGCTTCGCAGCTGCTTTTAAGGGCACTGTGCCCAACTGCTTCGGCGATTCGAAACTGTACAAATATCTTTCCATATTTCCACTGCTTTCACAGTTTGCAATGTGTTGCTAAAATTTAATTTATTTTTAATTTTTACGTCTAATTTCTTTGCTCTAGCATATTATGGTAGAATCCAACACGCATCCATATAAAGAAATCATAATTTATAATATAATAATTCAATTTTAGAATAAAAGGAGTTTCCACTCAATCACAGCCGCTCCAATTGAATTAACATGAATGTGTTTAATACCTTGAGATCGTCATTGTTAATAATATGAAAGGCATCGAAGGGACAACAAATTTTCATCTCTGAGGAATTACTTTGTTTACATCGAAAAAGATGACGTAACAGCTTGCTGCTGGAAACACGATGACTTCGATCGTAAGGACACGTTACTATTTCATCCATCGTTGTTATGTTAATTTGTGGACACTGCAATAAGCTCGTAGCTAACGCATAACATCAAAATTCGTAGAATCAAACAATAAAAAATAACGATTGACATACCCGTGTTGCACGTTCACGTTGGACGCGCGATGGAGAATCACGTGTTGCTGTTTAGGCTCTGTTAGTTTCGCTGAGACTGTACTGTATGCATGTGTAGAAACGAAAGAGTCCTTTTTCAGAAGCGATTCATAAAAATCATCCGATAGATGGATCTTTAACTATCCCGAAAAACAAAGAATTAATTAATCTTGTATTTGTTTGCAATATTTTTGTCTACACTGTGATTGGTTTTTTTTAATGAAATTACATGAATACAAAGAATCATCTAATAAAACCTTAAACTGTACTTTTATGTGTATTTTCATGGGCCCTACGGACAACGTGAACAGGCGCCGCGTTTATCGCAGAACGGGTAAAATCGTTCATTTAGAAATTTATTTTTACTAGATCCGTTTAAATCCATATGCTTTGTTCTCTTCCGAGAGCTGTACCGGTAACTCATTTCATTGCTTTGCAAGCGTTTGTTTTTACTATTCGCTCTAATAATAACGAGTCCACGAATAACCTATTAGAATTTCTGTCCAAATAGAGTAAAAAGTATCGTTATATATTTTATATTATATTTAATATATCGACGAATTCTTGCTTTTGAAAATGAACTCGATTATCTCTTGTACATTATAGCTGACGGAGCATCGATAAATACATAGAATGTAAATAACATGTGAACGGTGAATATATATATATATGTACACGTACTTTTATTAAAATGTTCTCAATTCTGTTTTTATTTCTTGAAAAGAAACGCGACCACATACATCGGGTCTGGATAAGTGATTTTTCGCGTATTTCGAGATCGGGAGAGCAGCACATCTGTAGCTGGGACAACCTTGCACGTGCACGTAATACATCGAAACTATTTATAAGCGAAACATCGTCACCGTATTATTACCGAAAATAAGTTGCTTCACGCTGACGCAGCGACGACGGGGTGTTACGATTTAAAATATCATTTATGTGACAGTCAGCTTTTTATCTCCTCCATATAAAATTACCCCGAAGACGCTGACGGTGTGTGCGAATGCCAACAATCTTGGATCAGCACCATCGAAGTCACATGTACATTCTTTTCAGTCGATCGAGCTTTCACCATAAACCAGAATTGATTACGTGCAAACTTTATTTTATGGACCAAAAATAATGTACATTTGAACTTTTTATTATTTCAACATTTAATAATCGATTAAATTATATTCGTCAAATACCAAATTATTATTAGATTTAGCAATGTTCGTTCTATTTAATTATTCTCATTCTTTTCGTTAGTTCATACCTATTGAACAATTTGTTCTATAGAATAAATTTCGAGGGCGGTGAATTCAATCTACGATGGAAAATACAGTACACGTGTGCACATGGTTGGTAGTAAAGCCTGGGAGTAAAGCCATTTAGACAAGAAATCGATTTTCCAGGTCTTTTTTTCCTCTCTATAAACATGCCCGTTACGCTGCGAGTTCGAAGGGTGGTGGAAGGCCGATGGCAACAAGACGGACTGACAAATATATCAGTCTTGTCCCACGCAGTTTTCAAGCAACTAGCTTACCGAAGACAACTTGAAGAACAGTCATGGCAGCTTTCATCCATGAAATCAAGAGTTCGCTGAAAGGATTCCGTCCGAGCACAGTACAATAATAAGGGCTTACGTGTTTCATACGATATTGTACCTCATCGGCAAAACGTTGATCAAACCAAGTGTTCCGAAAGTGGTTCGTAATTTTCTGTTAAATTCATTTAATTGTTACATCGTTATTGGTTGACGCCGCATCTTTTGCACTTTTTCCAAGGATCGTCGGCGATTTTAGTGACTCGCAAGGAGATGACCCATATCGATTATTGAGCCCCTTCGAAGTCAGCGTCAGTCATGCAACGGGTCCTCAGCTTTCAAATGGCTCGCGGACTCAACGAATCGAGCGAGTTCGTGACGAAACGCATGTGCTTCTCGTTCCTCTTCTCCGTCGGGTTTCTGTGCCTTCTGTGCGGCTTTCTGCTCGGTCGTTTCTCTATGCAGAGGGCCCTCGAATTTCGCGCCGAAAAGAAACGCCTCGAATTAGCGGGAAACGGTTTGGACAGCAACAAGTACCTTCAGCGTTTGATGCTCGAACTGCTGAAAACGGCGCCGCTCGACGACGATTTCGAAGTGTACGTTTGTCCCGATTCTTTTCTTCTTTTTTTTTTATCATATCAGAGTTGACTACCAATCGATTGACATATTTTTATTTTATAAGCGGACACCTAAAATATGCGCACAGCAATGATATCTCTTCATTTTGCTAGAATGGGGTGAACAGTTATTATTATAAACGTTCGACTGTTTAAATGTTTTAAATAGGACCTGGAAATCTTTCGATTTGTTGAAGGACGATGTGCAGCGAGCAAATGGGATCCTGTCGAATTTGTCGTTTGTTGACAAAGTGGTCGAGCATCAATCATATATCGTTGCGTCCGTTCAGGGGTCCAGAGAACCTGGTGATTGATATTCTACACTTTGTTATTGTTAGTCTCTAAAGCTTAATGTTTCATCTCACATTTAACGTTTAGACAGGTTCGTAGTTCTGTCGGCGAGCGAGCAAAGTGTAGGCGTTGCTTTAAAACTAGCGAAAATTTTTAACGACGTTCAGAGGCAACACGGCTGGAAACCACGCAGATCGATTATCTTTTGTCTATTCTTCGGGCCTGAGGACCCATGTCCTGGGACTTTGTTCAGATTTACAAGGCACAGAGTTCTCGCTTACATTGTAATTCATCACCAAGGATCGCAAGGTTTGGTTCGCATTAATTCATCCGATTAGAATTAGGCTCGGTAACTGTGTCTGGTTATAGGTAGAGGTCCTTTGATCGTGTCGGGGACAAATGTAGTGCAGTCTGTTGTCCTAGATGCTGCTAAATACGTAAGGGATTTATACCCTTACAACGATCAATATGCGACTCTAGATAGTATGTATTATAACTCCACAATTTCCCATTTAGTTTTAGACGTACCTCATGCAATATTATCATTTACGGTATGTAACACCGACAGGTAGAAATATTGCAGTTAGTAATTTTACTTAGTTTTATATTATTTCTGTGTAATGACGAAACAGTGATTTTACATTCAAGGATGATGATGAAAGTGAGTCGCGTAAAGTAATGCTAGCACAAATCCTTAGCCAAACTCTATGGAGATTGTCTGAATGTTTAATCATGAAATGGAATCCAAGTTACTTCAATGGAACCATGTCTAGAGCATTGGAATCTATAAATAGCACAGAATTTTTAGAAGTCAAAGGTATTGGGATATTCAGAAAACATCGGTATAGGGCTGAATGTTCAATAAAATTGTATATTTTTTTTTAGAGAAAATACAGGAAACTTCGGTCGAATTGTTAAATAATGTTGATACTCTAAATGGAAGGATTGACGCGGTTGATAGCACTAAGTACGCAACTCTTAGAGTTTATATAAAACTATTATATTTATAAATATTAATACTGCAAGCCACAAAAAAATCTATCCTTTTTTTATGTTGCAGTACGCTTGATACAAGAATATTGAATGATTTGATGATAGACTTCGATAGAACCCTTTTCTGCCCTGATACAAAGTTTCGGTCTAAAACTAATTGGGCAGAGTTTCTTAGTCTAAATCACAATCCGTATAACATAAGTTTGATGTATCTCAAGGAGATGGTGAAATGTTACGAAGCAGCAATTCAATTATTACAAAATAGATAGGAAAAAAATGCAAAAGTAAACAGAGTCTAGGTATAAAATTCGTTTTTTTTCTTTTAAATAACTGCGATAACTTTGGAGTACCACTAAAATCTGCTAAAACATATTTAGCCTAACGCTTAGCCTTACTTCCCCATATGCTTAGCTTAATTTTACATGTTTGAGTTCCTATTGTCCATTCATGTATTACCGTACATTGCACAGGCATGTATATAATCGTATGCAAGATATATATATATATATATATATATAAAAAGATGATGCCTGCGATAAGTAAGGCTCACAGGAAAGCTAATGCACGCTTCCTGGACCATACCGTATTTCTCTTTCAAACTGTTCCGCATTGAGAGTCCCATCGATTGCTTTGCATTGCGGATTGAAAACCGAATATGGGCTGAGTTCGCCCGGTTTTCTTGGCCTCGAGTGAGTATTTACCCAAATAAATATTAATATGGATACAATGAAATATATAGCCCCGAACTGAACTTCGATTGCAATTGTATATAAGACTGCCCATAAAAGGAAGCAGAGTAGATACATTGCTTTCCTCAGCAACGTATACTGAGGCTGGTCTAGGCTATCGTCCGAACAACTGCTTTCCGCATCCTGAAGATCCTGTAAGCTTTTAATTCTTAGTGTTGTCACTGGTCACAGCAATCGTTTCTGTACATTTTACAATAAACGTTACTTCGATTTCTTTACACCGAGAGAATTGTTATTTGCACCGTAACATTCGAAACAGCCGAGTATACGCGCACCGAACGCCTACTTCAGGATATGGTACCGTACGAGTGACATAACCTTACCTCCACATCCTCCGGCGGCGGTGACAGGAGCGGATCTTTCACGGTGGAGTTTTGGTTCCACGGCAGAACAGTTTGTATAGCATTTTTAATCGACTCTGTCATTTCGTTTCTGCGTCTCTGACGTCTGTAAGTATCGAGCCGCTCTCTTATACCGTTCTCGGTCATGACAGCCTGTCAAACGCACACGTCAGCTGTCTATCAGTCGGCTGTGCTCCGCTGTGCTACAATGCTGCATTCAATTGTATTCAATCGCTCGTCGTACATTCGTGTCAACGACATTGTAAATAGGAACGGTGTACATTAAGGGCGACCAAACTTCTTCGTCGCGGGCCGTATGTTTTCTCCTTTCAGCTACATAGTTAGTTCCCCCACCACCGAAAATGAGCGGCGACCGATGAGTGACGAGAGGAATTGGCGCGTGTCTCTGCGTTTTATTTTGCAAGTTTCGAAAAAATCGAACCGTATCGAATCACACATTCTCTATGCAATTGCATTTGTAATCATAGTATAGTAAATACAGATCTGACCAATGAGAAAAGAATTTTGTTCGAAGATGCGACACGTTAAATATCGATAACGTTTCGATGTTATCGATATCCGCCAATAACTTTATCGATGATCCCGCGTCTGAACTGAACGTAGTTCTGAATTCGAAATGTTGTTATGCATAGAGAAAGAAAGAGACGCGTGCATCAAGCAACGAAAACCGGAAAATCTCTTCGAGATTATCGTGCGAAAAATGAAGGCGAGAAAGAGTCACGCGATCAATGACGATTTAGCGATCGATCCCGTATTGGACGGGCAATGCGTTCAGATAAGCATGCCGACCAATTTCGGCGTTTCCTTCTTGGTTTCCGGCGTGCTGTCGATCATATTCAAGACAATGACCGCGCCGTTAGAGAGGATCAAGCTGATTCTACAAACTCAGGCGAGCAGCCATCAGATCGGAGCATCGGAGAGGTCCGCGTACAAAGGTTTTATCGATGCGATGGTTAGGATACCACGGGAACAAGGTTTCTTCTCGTTGTGGCGCGGTAACTTCCTGAACATCTGCCGGTACTTTCCGGCCCAGGCGATTAACTTTTCTTTCTACAATGTGTACCACGGTGCCTACCAACGTGTACGTAGATTCGCCGGAATTATGACAATCGTGATCAGTCTGTGAACATTTCTTTAGCATTTATTCACGGATTATTCTAAGATGTTGCCGAATTTTTTGTTGGAAGTTCAGTTATTGTAGAATTCGATTACACGATCTGATCACGATTTCACCTTAGACGAATGAAAAGTAGAATTTGTTGTAAGTAAAGAGCACAGTGTTATATAGATAATCCAACCGAGGACGAACTTTATGCAACACCTGATATCGTTTCTGGCGGGCGGAAGCGTCGGCGTCACGTCCTGCGTTATCCTGTACCCGCTGTCGTTCTGCATCACCCGAATAGCCGTGGACGTCGGCGACAGTGACAAGGTTAAGAGGCAGTTTCGTAATTTGAACGATTGCTGGCGGAAGGTCTACAAAATCGACGGCTACAAGGGCGTTTATCAGGGAATGGTCTGCTCGGCCGGTGGCATGTTTTTGTACAGGTGGACATAGTCAGCCATTTTGAGATCCGTGATCTCGTTTCCGGTTTATAGAGAGAAAATATCCGAATATAGAGAGAAAGAAAGCGAAATAGCGTCGCTTATGCCTGGAATATGTGGAACTTAATTCAGACATGAGAGAACGAGAATTGGAACTTTTTTTATGCATGAGATTAATCCTGATGGAACTTAGGTCCATTTATTTCGGAGCGTACACGTTCGGCAAGCATTGGTACGTGGACCAACGTGCGAAAGGCTTCCGAGTCTCGCCGGTGTTAATGTCCCTGGTGTTCGCGCAATCGGCCAGTATCGCGGCGACGCTGATCAGCTATCCGTTGGATACGATATCCAAGCAGAAAATGCTTCACAGCGGGCAACTGGGTCCACGCGGCTACGAGACGATACGGCAAGTGGTCTGTGAAGAGAATGAAGATGATCGATCCCCCCGTGTATGCTATTTTGAATAGTCGACGAGTTGTTTGCCCTTTCAGGTTGCCAGGATCGTAGAGACCGACGGCCTGGCCGGCTTTTACAAGGGCATTCTGACGAACTTGTTGACCACAGTCTGCGGATCCTGTATTCTAGTGACCTACGACCTAGTGATAACGCGGTACGAGAATTTCAAAGAACGAAGGTACATCGCGCGCACGAGATTCCAGAGCACTGTATTATTTCGCCAGCAAATTTTCAACTTTGCGATTTCTATTCAAGGTTTCCACGGAAGTTCGAGGACTCGGAAAGTCCGGACATGCGATGAGAACTATACCGTACGCATAGTTGTTCGCCAACTACATACAGACAATAACATTCTGCGGGATCTGCTGAACATTCCCGGAGATCGTGTCCTGCTAATAAAACAACAATTGTTACAACAATCGTGAAAGCGTCGTTCGCGATTTTATATATTATATGTCCGCCGGCCAAGCTTGAGAAGTCATTCTGGTCTCGACGTTCTTCCAAAAAATATGCATTTATTACTTTTCCTCGATCAAAATAAATCGAATCAAAATTTCGACTGTTACAACCGTATCTGGTAAAGGTAGGAATGATATCCGGTCAAGGATCTTTCCGACGTCGCTTTCGAGAGGAATCTTTTGACCGGATATAAGCATTGTAAAATTATTCGAACGGTTTGTACTTGTTTAAGAAAGTAGCCTAGTCGACGGAATGCGTTTTATAGCTTGGTTTCCCATCCGTCACACTAGAATGACCTCTAAATCACTTCGTTGTGCGCGAAAGTAAAGCGACGATCGGGTTGCCACCGATCGAGAAGTTAATTTGCATTATTCTTTGAAAAAAAGTTGTTCCGTCGGCCGCGCGTGTTTAAAGAAATCTAATCTAACACTTGACCCTGGCTGGCCTCTAACGATTCACGGAAAAATAGTAATGTAACCGATATTTCTCAGTACCACTGATTCATTCACTGATGGAGTGCGCGAATCCGTTGTGCGGTACGTAAACAGCGAGATATTGTTACATATAAATATCGTTACGTATCAATACTATCACGTTTAATTTACAGTTATTATCGCGGCACTAGCATCACGTCTTCTTCACGGTAAACCTATTTGTATTACTGAAAATGTTCAATCTACGGATCTGTAATATTTGCGTTAGCTTACGTCATCAATTCAGGCTTTTTTCCTGATCTCCATAACGTTCTGGCGATCCTATGGGCTTCGAAAACTTTACAGTAATATCCGTAGTTCTATTTCGATGAATCGTTTAAATCCAATTCTGTTGTCACCGTTTTCTAACGTGGGCATGTGCCAAGCATTCAAGGGCGCGCTTTGAACTTCCATGAAAGTCCAGTTGGCCATTTAAAATGTTAAACAAATTGAACGGTTACCGTGATATAACCGAAGACATTATTAGCGAAGCATTTCTGGTACGTATTAGCTTGAGATCCACTGACTCACGACTGTCACGGGACGACGACTGTACACATCTGTGCCGTAGTAGGAAAGTAAACGTGTGCGTCGATCGTCGAACCGACAACGGTGTGCCGAAAGAGCTTGCACAACAAATCATTCTCGTAGGAAGCTTACGGTGATAACATTCATCGGCTAATAGGAAGCATGGCGACCGACAAGCCTCAGCTGGTGGCAGTCAACAGCGAAAGTGACATTAGGCAGCTGGAGAAACATACTTCCGGTCATCTTGCCCCCGAGAGCGTTCTCGATGGCCGTGTTTTGGTCCTTTACACTGGTGGAACCATTGGCATGATCAGGAACGACGATGGAGGTACCCACGTGTCCTACTCGGAGACTTCAACTTTTCTTCTATGCTCTTATTCGTCTCGTTAGGTTTCTTATCTCGCTAATCGCCCCTGTTATAAGTTTATTTATTTGCTAGTTTTCTCGTCTCTGTACTTATCCACTTATTTTACATTGAGCCTGTTATATATATATACTCTTCGAATCTTTATTTATTTACTTACTTACTTACTTAGTTACTTACTTACTTATTCACTTACTTATTTACTTACTTACTTATTTACTTACTTACTTATTTACTTACTTACTCACTTATTTACTTACTTACTTACTTATTTACTTACTTATTTACTTACTTACTTACTTACTTACTTACTTATTATTTATACCGAGCTTTTATTTAGTTGTCCTGAGAACACGTTTACGTTTCAGTCCTAGTGCCCAAAGCGAACGCGTTCGTGAAGAATCTGCGAAGGTATCCCAATATGCACGATAAAAAGTACGCGGAGGAACGATTCGGCTCGATGGGACCGTTGGTGCTTCCGTAAGTGTTACACTGTTATTTCTCGACAATCAGTTCCACCGCCTTCGAAGAAGAGCCTCGCAAAAATGAAAGTTTCGCCTAAACTTGAACTTACAAATCCGGGATTGTTTACAATGTTCTTACAAGAAAAAACGATAACGCAAATAGTTAGTAGACACTTGCGGAGAAGTTAGGAAAACTCGTGCGACTCCAACGTTCTTACATGTCCTCTTCTGTTACTGTTTAGAATGACCAGGGGCGACAGCAGGCGGGTAATATACAACGTGCTGGAGTACTCGCCGCTCTGCGATTCCAGTAACATGACGATGGACAACTGGATTGCCATTGCCAACGACATTCAGGTACATTTATTTAGGGTACATCGCCAGGGTACACATCGTTTAGGGTACATCAGGGACAACGTTAACGATTTATTGGGTTGGCTACTAAGTAATTGCCGATTTGTTCGATGAAATAAAAAATTCTTTTTTACTTGGAACGAAGTTTAATCTGTAATGTATTTTCCATTTTGTTCGATGACCTTTTGACATCTCTCCGACAATTTGAAAATTCCACGCTCGTAGAAAGTCTGATCGTTTTCGGCCAGAAACTGAGTTAAGTGAGATTTTACAGCGTCATCATCGTTAAAAGTTTTACCACGAAGGGAGTTGTCCAGGGATCGAAATAAGTGGTAATCCGATGGCGCGAGATCAGGGCTAAATGGTGGGTGTAACATCGATTCCCAACCAATATCCATCAATTTTTGCCGAGTGGACAAAGACGTGTGCGGCCTAGCATTGTCCTGCTGGAAAATGACACCTTTACGATTGACCAATTCTGGTCGTTTTTCCTTGACCGCTGCATTCAATTAGTCCAGTTGCTAACATTCATGGATAATAAAAAATAACATAATAATAATAATAATAATAATAATAATTTTATAATATAACATTTACGGATATCATAAAAATGGGAGTGAGAGACATCTCTATAACTGAAATCGGCAATTACTTAATTACCAACCCAATAGTTTAAATTAATTCGTATAATTTAATTCGTGTGTAATTTAAGAGTGTATAGACCCGCTTATGCTTTCAGCAAGCCTACCAGCACTTCGACGGTTTCGTGGTGCTCCACGGAACGGATACTCTGAGCTACACAGCATCGGCTTTGTCGTTCATGCTCGAGGCACTCGGCAAGATAGTGATACTGACCGGGTCCCAGGTGCCGATTTTCGACTCGAGAAGCGACGGCCTAGAGAACTTCCTCTCGTCCCTAATCATAGCCGCGAGTTACCACATACCGGAAGTTTGCGTCTACTTCGGGACGAAGCTGATGCGGGCAAACAGAACGAGCAAGATCTCGACCACTGCGTTCAATGCGTTCGACTCGCCTAACTTCCCGCTCCTGGCCAAGGCCAATAGTAAAATTGAAGGTCTCTGTCGCGATAGTGCAATAGAATGATTTGTTACACGATAGACAAGTTGCATTAAGTTTAAGATAAACGACCCCTTATCGGAGATTAGCCAGTCTTATCTTTCTTATCTTAATCTTGCTTAGCGAATCTCATTTGATTAAATTGGTCTAGTTAGAGCAAGCTTTAAGAATAGTTTATTTGGCGAAAGCGTTTATTTGATACGCAAATATTTGCAAATATATTTATCAAGGCGGCAGGTGTCAAATGATTCAACGTTCGACTCGCCTAACTTCCCGCCCCTGGCTAAGGCCGGTAGTAAAATTGAAGGTCTCTGTCGCGATAGTGCTATAGACTGATTTGTTACACGATAGGCAACGGGTTGCAATAAGTTACAAGTTGCATTAAGTTCAAGATAAACGACTCCTTATCGGAGATTAGCCAGTCTTTCTTATCTTAATCTTATCTTAATCTTACTTAGTGAATCTCATTTGATTGAATTGGTCTAGTTAGAGCAAGCTTTAAGAATAGTTTATTTGGCGAAAGCGTTTATTTGGTACGCAAATATTTGCAAATATTTTTATCAAGGCGTCAGGTGTCAAATGATCGCTGTTCTTGTTACAGTGGACTACCGGGCCATTTTCCGGCCATGCACGCTGACAAAGTTCTGCGTGCACGCCAACTTGAACAGGAACGTGGGCTTGTTGCGGATATTCCCAAGCATCACCACGGAACTGGTGAGAGCGTTCCTGCAACCGTCCATCGAGGGCGTCGTGTTGGAGAGCTACGGGGCTGGAAATATCCCAATCAACCGGGAAGACTTGGTCGACGAGTTCCGCAAAGCGTCGAAACGCGGAGTTATTATAGTGAACATCACGCAATGCGCGACTGGATGCGTCATGGGGTTGTACGAGCCAGCGAAGCAACTGGAAAAAGCTGGTACGCTGCGCAGGGTATTCCAAAAGAAAAAGCGTAACACAAATCTAGGCTGAAAGGTTCTGCAGCAATTTGTAAGTCGTGAATCAAGGCTGAAAGGTTCTGCAGCAATTTGTAAGTCGTGAATCAAGGCCGAAAGGTTCTGCAGCAATTTGTAAGTCGTGAATCAAGGCTGAAAGGTTCTGCAGCAATTTGTAAATCTTGAATCAAGGC